GACCTCCGAAACGTCGGCAAACTTCTAGCAGACTATATGGCGCAACAACCCAGAAGACAGCCATCTTCATATTTTTAATCGCCCTGATGACGGAGGCAGTACGACCTCCGAAACGTCGGCAAACTTCTAGCAGACTATATGGCGCAAGAACCCAGAAGACAGAAATCTTCATACTCAGCGCTGAGAAAACCTCAAAGCCTACCTAATATATATATTTTCCCCGGAAATTTTCTATTTTTTTTCTTTTCGTTTCAAAACCTGTTAGGAGACTCGGAATTATCTGGAATATCTTTTCGTTGGTCTTGCCACTTCTGCTTTCCTCTGCGGCGAGTGGTAACATACTCCATAAGGTAACCTTGCATAATTTGTTGTCCAGTTTAATCTGTTTCAATAATTTACATTGATATGCGAGTCTATGTTTAATTTAGTGACAAATATTTCAGTTTTTGCCCACTGGTTCAAAAACTGTTGGCGTTCGGTATGAACGATGAAAATTTTTGTTAAAATTTGCACTCACAACTTGGAATTTTAGGACAGGGTCAAAACACGTTCCATTCACTTAAGACATTTGTACTTAACGAAATTTTAATGAACTGTCCTGCGGGACAATCTTGGCGCAGATACGATGTTTATAACAATAGTGGTGTTTGAGAAACAGGTTCTGAAGAAATTAAGTTGACAAATCAGACTCAGGGCAAGTTTAAAGTGACTTATTCAATTGGGTTAGCTGAGCGAGTGTTCCTCTCGCTTACCTCTGTATCTCTCCGACCTGGACCTCGCCAGCTCCGACTGGCTGTTCGCAGTGTGTTTCGTCGGTTGTAGTTCCAGGCTGTCCGCGTCCTTCCTGCGGAAACAGCAGCACTGGCAAACGATCCGCTGGAAATACACCCGGAACCTGAGAAGAGACAGATCGACTTCAAAGTATACTTTCGGAAGAAAGTAATCCGTCAGCGAGCTGCTAGCGATGCGAATATCAAAGTGAAAGGACGTCGACGTATTTTGGGTCTGTGAGGGTAAGTGGACATTGTTCATTGTCCTGAGGTAATTCGATCTTGGCTACACGGTGTTTCAAAAGCTATTTTCTGACCGATCTTGTTTGAACATTAATGACGACAATTAACAAATGCAATCAACTTGACTAATTAATGTATTTATTTCAAATATAATAATAGATTTTTTTTTTACAATTTTTCGCCATATCGCCATCATCACGTGTATACCTACTATGGATATACCAAACGTCAAACCGTGTACTAAAATACGTAATTAACATAATTAATAAAATGAAATGGATCGATATTTACAAATGGTACAAGATAAGATAAAATTACATTTTTGATGTCTTGATTAAAAAAATTGGGACATAAAATTTAAATGTGACTATAAAATGTCTGGATAGGAGTCGACGTCAATATAGATGTGGATTCTGAGTCGTGGGGTGCCCATGTTGGCAAGGACCCTGTCTGATGGAAACAATTAAGGCTTCTGTGACGCCTAAAACGGACCATTCGAACCGTAGGTGGGTCCACCCTTAATAGATTTTGATTTCAGAGGGTATTAAAATGTTAGTTTGAAGCATCCATAATACATTTTTTAAGATTATAAATTTTCCAGTCTTAGTTTGTTTACTTTACGAGGTGCGATCAGAAAGTTTCCAGACTGTGTCAATAGAGGGAGAACCGGATGTAGTACGAGCTTCTGCCTTTAGGGGATGCGGCCTACATTCATAGTGGATCAGTGTACCAGCCGGCATCATCGAATTAGCATTTGTTTCTTAGTTACGGGCGTTTTGGTAGTGCATTACACCGACCCTCCTGCGATTTCGGAATGGCGTGTGCATCAAATTTGGCCAAAGACTCGCCAAAACGGCTACGGAAACCTATGAAATGCTAAAGCAAGCATTTGGGGAAATACTTCGAAATGGGTCGTGCACAAACTTTTGTGGGGCATTCACGTTTTAAAAATGGCCCAACCTCTGGCGATGATGACGAGCGTTCTGGACGACCATCTTCGAGCACAACGCCCGAAAATGTTACGAAGATTCGGCAGGCCATTCACGAAGATCGACGTCGTACCATCAACGACTTGTGCGACATTGCTGGGGAAAATTCAGGTAAAGGGAAGGAGATTTGAGACGATAGAAGAGATTCAGGCAGAATCGCAGATGGTGCTTGACAGGCTGACAAAGAAAGATTTCCAGGGATGCTTCCAGGCTTGGCAGCGGCGCTGGGATCGTTGTGTTCACTCCCAGGGGAACTACTTCGAGGGTGACGGATGAATTTAATTTTATAGGCGCAGTCTAGAAACTTTCCGATCGCACCTCGTATTGACGAATAACGCTTATTCGTAAAAGTCTTTATCCATTCGACTCGGGTGACGTAATGCCCGATGTGATTTACGGTATGGGCGTCTTGAAATTAAGGAAATTCTATTAAATTCAACATAAATCACTGCAAATTTACAGTCTGAAGCGAGTTACGAACTGAGAACGAATAGAGAAAGCGTGAAAGTTTTAATTTCATTTTCGTCGTTAGTTTTGACGACAGGAGTGAATGTTTTCAGACTTTACCTGGGGGCAGAAGGTGCTAAGGCCTTCTCGTGGCATTACCTGTTGTTCATCCAGTAGTAAATGAGAGGGTTGACCATCGCGTTGGACATGGCGAGCCAGTAGAAGGCCAGGTACATGTGCTGGACGTAGCTGCTGGCTGCGATGGAGTTGTTGTGGTAGGCGTAGATGAAATAGCCGTGGTACGGCAGCCAGCAGAATGCAAAGATGGATACCACGAGGATGAACATCCGCACTACCTGGGACAGAAAGAGCAGTTGCCTAAATTCACGGAGTAGACACACGTCCTGTGTCTCTGAGGGCAGGAAGTCGACCCTGGACGTTGACATTCGAAACGTAAGAAAACCACTGAGATTAAAGGAAAAACCCATTTTGTTGTAAAAGAAAGGAAAGTTTTATTCCGGGACTGAAGGTCACAGTTCGAGTTTGCAGAACTCATTGGCCTTGGGAATTAATTTATCCCGTATTTCGAATATTTTTTAAATTAGACTGCAACTCTAGGGGGGTGGGGGGGGAGAGCTTGCGATATAATAAAACCAAATATGAAATAAAACTCGCGTTACGGTATTTTATATTTGGACACAATCCTGAGTTAAGCTTTGGTACCATCAGCGTAACAAAGAGGGAGCCTTCTCGAAGACGACACACCCGCCATTTTATTGGAACTTGAAGAAGTTTTTCTGGGTCAGTGGCTGGTTCAGTTCTTCCAAGCCTCGCGGGTTATTAGAGAAAACTTTTATTACTTCCTGTAGAAGTGAGTTTGAAGAGGCGAAGTCTTAAAGATGGCGTGGTCAGAGTCCAGAGAACTTGTCGCAGATAATCCACTTTGCTGGGACAATCTTTTCGTGATGATGTCTGGTCCACGTTGTGGGGCGTCTGAACTTTTTCTTGTCCTGATTTTTCAAACATTTATGAACACGCGAAACTTGAGACCCTACGTTTAATACCGCCACGGTGGTCTAGCGGTTAGAACGCTGGCCTTGTAATCCTGGGGTCTCGGGTTAGATTCCCGGCGGTGCCCGAATTTATAACTTGTGTTGGGCAAGGCCGTGGTCTAGGCAACACG